AGTCAATATCATACTCAATGGGTAAAAACTAAAAGCTTTCCCATTAAGATAAGGAACAAGACAAGGGTGTCTGCTTTTACCACTTCTATTCAACATAATATTGGAAGCCCTAGCGCCACAGCGATCAGACAATAAACAGCATCCAAACTGAAAAGGAGGAAGTAAAATGTCACTGTTTGCAGATGACATGTTACTATACATAGAAAACCATACAGATTCCACCAAAAACCTACTTGAGCTATTAAGTGAGTTTGGCAAATCAGTGGGATACAAAATCAATATTCAAAAATTGAAGGCATTTTTGTGCACCAACAATGAAATACAAGAATCAGAAATCAGGAAAAAAAATCTCATTTGTTACAGCAACAAGAACAGTAAAGTACCTAGGAATACATCTAACCAAGGAGGTAAAAGACCTGTATTCAGAAAACTACACAACAATGAAGAAAGGAACTAAAGGAAGACACAAATAAATGGTAGCATATACCGTGATCATGGACTGGAAGAATTATCATCATCAAAATGTCCATACCACCCAAAGCCATTTAGAGATTCAACACAATCCTTATTAAAATACCAATGATTTATTTCACAGAAATAGAACACTTAAAAATTTTATATGGAACCATAAATGACACTGAATAGCTGCAGCAATTTTGAGAAAGAAGAACAAAGTAGGAGGGATCACAATACCTGACATCAAACTATATTACAAGGCTACTGTAATCAAAATAGTTAGGTACTGGCAGAAGAACACACATATATATCAATGGAACAGAATAGAGAGCCCAGAAATAAATCCATGTATCTATGGTAAATTAATATTCAACAAAGTGGGCAGAAGATTGAAATGCAGTAAAAATAGCCTCTTCAACAAATGGTGTTGGGAGGGCTGGACAGCTACATGCAAAAAATTTAAATTCAATAACCAACTTACACCATACACAAAAATAAACTCAAGATGGGTGAAAGATTTAAGTATAAGGCGTGACACCATAAAAAGTCTCAGGGGAGAACATAGGCAGGAAACTCTTAGATATTCCATGGAGCAATATTTTGACAAATATGTCCACTAGAGAAAGGGACATAAAGGAAAGAATAAACAAATGAGATCTCATCAAAATAAGAACCTTCTGCACGACTAAAGAAAACATTAGCAAAATGAAAAGTGAACCAATTGGATGGGAAAATATATTTGGCAACAATACCCTGGACAAGGGTTTGTCCTTGAAAATATATAAAGAACTCACACAACTCCACTCCAGGAAGACAACTAATCCAAATAAAAAAATGGGCAAAGGACCTGAACAGACATTTCTCCAAGGAGGACATACATAGGGTTCAGAGACACATGAGAAGATGCTCAGCATCAGCAGCCATCAAAGAAATGCAAATTAAAACCACAATGAGATACCACTTCACAATGGTCAGTGTTGGGAACCATCCTCCTAATTTCAGGGACTGTAGCCTCACCAAGAGGTGAAAAGGCCCCAAGGCGGGAGCTGAACAAGGAGGCCTTGGGAAAACAGGCTACTGAGGAGTCAAAACCTGTCCCCTGGCAGGGATGCATCCCCTGCCTCTCTCACATCACCCCACCCTGCTTAGCCCCAGAGGATGACTGGTTAGTCAATGATGGGTAAGACCCCTCAGTGGCAGAGGCAACCTAAGACAGGCACAGTTCCATAGGGGCCATTAGGGAAGGACTTCGGGGACACAGAGAAGGGGCAAAAGATCCTCACCCCTTGGCTCTGTAATGGTCCGAGTCCTCATTCTATCTGAAAGAAGTCTCCTTATCTCTTGGCTGCTCTGCCCCACGCACCTGACCAACTCAGTGAAACAACACTCAAGGCAGGTACAGCCCTCAACTGGATCAAGTGGTTCCTGGGGTCAATTAGGCCTAGAAAAAGAATGCATTAAATCCCATGAAACTTACTTTGCTAAGAATGCTCTGGAGTGAATGAGTACTGATGTTTAGGGTCTCAGCATAATATAAGATCAGTTTTCCAGGTTTTAAGGCCGAATGGGCACCACCCTGTCTACCAGACCGTGACCTGAGGCAAATTTCTGTGTTCCTGCAATTGTTATCTATGATCTCTATCTCTTTTCTGTAAACGTAGTCCTTTGATATTGATTGATGAGCTTCGCATGCATGCTGTATACCCCTGTGAATATTAGTTCCCAATTTGCTTGAGTTTATAGAGGGAAGTGATTGAAAGCCCAGAGAGAGCTGAGTAAGTGGCATAGTTCCCTCTTGGACCTCTTTCCCACACAAACGTCACAATTCTGCTACTGGGGTTGCCCGCCCTGGTGAATACCTAAGTCTCCACCCCTCCCAATGCAACAGGAACACTGAGACAAAGAAATATGGCCCAAATAAAAAGAACAGATCAAAGCTCCAAAAATAGAACTAAGTGACAAAAAGACTGCCAATCTATCAGGTACACAATTCAAAACACTGGTAATCTGGATGCTCACTGAATTGGTTGAGTATGGTCACAAAATGGAGGAAAAAGTGAGGACTACGCAAAGCAAAATAAAGAAAAATATACAGAGAACCAACAGTAAAGGGAAAGGGAACAGTGACTCCAATCAACAATTTGGAGCAGAAGGAAGAAATAAACATTCAACCAGAACAGAATGAAGAAACAACAATTCAAAAAAATGAGGAGAGGCTTAGGAACCTCTGGGACAACTTTAAATATTCTAACATCCAAATTATAGGAGTGCCAGAAGGAGAAGGGGAAGAGCAAGAAATTGAAAACAGATTTGAAAAAATAGTGGAGAACTTCCCCAATCTGGCCAAGGAAACAGACTTTCAGGAGACCTAGGAAGCTCAGAGAGTCCCAAAGAAGTTGGACCCAAGGAAGCACACACCAGGGCACAGCATAATGTAGTTACCCAAGATTAAAGATAAGGAGAGAATCTTAAAAGCAGCAAGAGGAAAGGAGAGTTACCTGCAAAGTATTTCCCATATCATCAGCCTGATTTCTCAAAAGAAACCTTGCAGGCAAGAAGGAGGTGGCAAGAAGTATTTAAAGTCATGAAAGACGAGAATCTACATCCAAGATGACTCTATCCAGCAAAGCTATCATGTAGAATAGAAGGGCAGATAAAGTGCTTCCTAGATAAGGTAAAGTTAAAGAAGTTCATCATCACCAAGTCCTTATTTTATATGAAATGTTAAAGGGACTTATCTAAGAAAAGGAATAAGATCAAAAACTATGAACATTAAAATGACAACAAATTCACATCAAAACAAAATCTAAGCAAACAGGAACAAAATCACAGAAATGGAGATCACATGGAGGGTTATCAGTGGGGATGGGGAGGTGGCGAATGGGAGAAAAGGTACAGGGAGTAGGCAAAATTGGGTACAAAATAGACAGGGGGAGGTTAAGAATAGTACAGGAAATGGAGAAGCCAAAGAACTTACATGTACGGCCCGTGGATATGAACTAAAGGATGGGGGGTGGGCAGAGAATGCTGGGGGGAGGGGAGGTGTAGGGTGGAAAGCAATACAGGGGGAAAAAATATGGGACAATTGTAAGAGCATAATCAATAAAATATATATTAAAAAAACAAAATAACTTAAGCAGAGTGTAATAGTATAAAACAGCATTAGGGATAACTGATCTGAATGGAGAATACAGAATATAGTGGACAAAAAGAAATAACATATTATTTACTCTTTTGCTTCAAATATAGATGATGAGATTTTGTTCTTATTAAATAAAAGCTGGTATTGAGCTTTAAGATAATATACATTAAAACTATATTACATAAGCAAATATCCTGAAAAATAAGGTATTATATGAAAAAATTTTTGTAGAAAAATAAAACTTCATTTTTCTGCTTGTATTTCCAATACAATATGGTAGATCTCAAAAATAAATATTTCTGTCACTTGTTAAGAATTTTTCTATTAAAGTATAATAAAAATTTGTCACACTTAGTAGCTAAAAGTCACTTAATCTATTTTTAAATTATACCTACATAATGTACAAGTTGTCCATTGCTTTGGATAACTGAGAATTCAGTATTTCTTTTACCATGTAGCATCATTGCACTACTCCACCCCCTCCCTTCCCACACCAATACCAAAACCTGTGAACACATCAATCTCATAACAATACATAAAAAGCAGTAAATACTCAACTCTCTTAAGGAATTCAAAAGGAAATACAGTAGAAAATAGAGAAAGTTTGGTAAATAAACAGTTGCTTGCTTTTAGTTTTAAAAGTCTGTTTCATAAATTACCTAAATTTCAAACTCAAATAAATATACAAGTTGAAAAATAAAAATGCAAATAAAAATATACCACTTTCACTTGCGTAACTGAAAAATTGTAAATATAAAATATCGAATTGCTAGCCACTTCTGGTAGAGTATAAACCAGTACAACTTCAGGGGTATTTATGCATCACACAGTTAAATACCTTTTAATGAAATAATTTCACCCTTAGTATTTCAAAATGAACAATTATTGTTTATCCTTATAGTATGAGGCCAATACGAATGTGCTCTTGCAGTAGAGTTGATGATATTTGTTGAGTGAATGAAGAGAAAGGTAAGAGGAAAAAGGTGATAAAAGATCACATACACACACAAAATAACCATGAAATATTAATTGTGGTTATTTTTAATCCACTAATTAGGAATGCTTTTTTTATATATCTTCTTTCAATGCACACATTACATATATTAGGTCAGACTCTTATAAATATGTATCATTAAGGTAATAAATATTCTCTTAAGAAGTTCTTCTTATTATATATAAGTTATTTTTACTCAGCACGATGTATTCTACATTGTATCTTAGTATTAAACAAAATGCCTTTCCCTGACACTATGAAGCAAGCAAAGGAAAAACCTTTAAGGATAAACTTCTTGAATACACAATCAACAAGAGTATGTAAAATATTAATAAACACACTAACAGGTTCCATATAGATTATTGACTGTATTGCTTTATAAATGAAATAAAAACACTTATGATTTACCTGCATTGCACTTTTCCCCAGTTTCACCACTTCAAATAATGTGACAGGCTCCCCTTCACCATTCTGTTGAGGGTGCCCATTAGCTCTTCCACGGCCCGTTCCTCTAATTCCAGCTTCAATTCTACTTTTCTCTCCTGGAGATTTTCGAGGTTTCTTATTTGTAGACTGAGTAAAAACATAAAGAAAAAAAAAATAAATGTAGGCACACTTTGCTTTAGGCAGAGCGATCTAAAATTATGTCTGATACTGCAAAAGGTAGTTTAGTACTACTAAAAGTAAGAGAATAATCCCAGACCAAAGGAAGGCTTACAATTTGTTTTCAGTGATAAAAAAGTGCAAACAGTCGAAAGAGTAACAATTTATGTAAGGTATGAAAATGAAAGTTTAAAGAAGAATTTAGTATTTTGTTTTTGGGGTTTTTTAAAGGATTTTATTTACTTATTTTTAGAGAGAGGGAAAGAGAGGGAGGAAGAGAGGAAGAAAAACATCAATATGTGGTTGCCTCTCACACGTCCCCCAATGAGGACTTGGTCTGCAACCCAGGCATGTGCCCTAACTGGGAACTGAAACAGTGACCCTTTGGCTCGCAAGCCAGCACTCAATCTACTGAGCCACCACAGCAGCCAGGGCTTGATTTAGCATTTTGTACATCTTTAATGTCAAGGCTGAATATTTTAATAATATCCCCCTCTTGACATAGCTTTCTTCATACCCTCCTCAATATTCTTTTCTTAGAAACGTGTTCAATAAAACTACTTAGAGATACTGCATATTTGACCTCTCCCTCTACAAAAGTGCTCAGTTATTTCTTAGCCAGTCGTGCAACAAATATACACTGAACATATCTGGAACTATTCTAGGTACTGGAAATATGGGAATAAACAAAACAAACATTCCTGCCTTGATGGAACTTACATTCTTCAATTAACATCCCATCTCATGCCCCCTAGTTTTTTAATTCTTGTATGTGCCCTCACCAGGGATCGAAGCCATGACCTTGGCATATCGGGATGACACTCTAACCCACTGAGCTACCCAACCAGGTCTCATGCCCCCAGTTTAAAAAAACAGTAATAATTCAACATTAACTACCACCTTATCTATGCCTCCCCTTTTAGAGGAAAGGGTAATTTGAGAAAATTGTTTGCTATCACTGTTATTATTCCCATAAATTTCATTCACTCATATATAAACTCATCATTGTTCTGCTTCTCCAAATTCACCAATCAAATTTACGTTGCTATATATAATAGACATTTCTTGAAAGTCTCAGCAGGCCACGAGATTTCTTCCTTTCATTTCAGATACATTTTCCGCCCCTATATTCCTCACCTGTTTAGTGCTACCTTAGGTTTCTCTTGAGCATTTGTTCTTCTCAACATTTATATTCTCTTTTGAGTGATTTAATTGATTTTCATAACAGCCTGTACAGTCATTAATTTATTGCATCTCATCTTTAAATTCACCTTTATTTGTCTCACTTTCTGATGCTGAAGCTGGACCCTATAAACACTTGTTTTGTCATGTGCTGCAATGTGAAGCTTTGTAACTAGACGGCACTGGAGGAACACTACAAAGCATAGCATGGAGGGGCTTCTCTCACCACTTAAAGTACCTGTTCCCTTCACTTCCCTTCACTATATCCTCAGTACTTTCGCTCCTCTTAGTAAATAGCCTTACAACCATTTTTGTGTTTGAGTTTATATGAGGTTACAATTTATATTTAATTATTTTTAGAAATTTTAGATTTACAAAAAAAACAAACTGTGAAGACAGTACAGAGAATTCACATATACATCACTTGTAGTCATCCCTATTATCAATACCTTATCATTTATATAATACATCTGTTACAATTAATGAACCAATACTGAATAAAAATCCATACGTTGGATTTTCTTTGTTTATGTCTGATGATCTTTTTCTTTTCCAGGACTCCGCCCAGAATACCATATTACATTTACATCGAGTCATTTTAAAGTCCTCTTAACTGTGACAGTTTTTAGTCCTTTCTGATTTTGTGGTGACCCTTGCAATTTTGAGAAGTTACTGGTCAGGTATTTTGTACAATGTTTCTCAACTTGGTTTATTTTTGGGTATTCTCATGACTATATTTAAATTATGGGTTTAAAAAAAGAGGTACAAGATAAAGTGTTATTTTTAAATTCCTCATATCAAGTCTACATATAATCACTATTACTGTTGACCTTAATGAGTTGGCTGAGGTGTTGTTTGTCAGGTTTTGCCAATGTAAAGTTACTTTTCCTCCATTTTCCATACTCTACCCTTTTGAACAAAGTCATTGTATGCACTCACATTCAAGAGGTGGGGAACTATACTCCACCTCCTTGAGGGAGGAATATTTATACATATTATTTGGAATCCTTCAGTATGGGAAATTTGTCTATTCTCACTCATTCATTCAATCATTTATACTAATATAAACTAATCAACATTTATTTTATACTTTGAATTATAATTCCAATACTTTTTGTTGTTCAACGTGTTCCACTGAGTAAGCTTCAGTTGGCTCCTATGTCCATTTGACATATTCCCTTCAGAGTGTGTGTGTGTATGATTTTTAAATAATCTGTACTCATAAAATTTACTTTTTTTGTCAAGTTCAATGGGTTTTGACAAATGCATTGTGTCATGTATGCATGTTTCTGTTATCACTGAGAAAAGTTTCACCACCTTAAAAAATGTGCTTCACCCATTCAAACCTCCCATTCCCTTTGACAAGCACTGAATTTTTAAAAATCATCAGTATAGTTTTGTCTTTTACAGATAGTCATATAATTGGAATTACACAGAATGCATCCTTTCCAGACTGGCATCTTTTACTTTAACAATCTGCATTTAAGAGTCATTCATGTTTGTCAGTGGGTAAATAATAAATTTCTTTTTATTTCTAAGTAATATTCCATTGTATAATATACCATATTTTGATTTACTACTGATGGATATCTTGGTCACCAGTTTTGGCAATTAGTCATAAAGTTGCTATATACATTCACATGCTGGGTTTTGTATGGGCATAATTTTCAAACCAGTATAAACACCTAGGAGGACAATTACTGAATCATTTGGCTAAACTACGTTTATGTTTCTACAAAACTGCCAAACTATTTCCCAAAGTGGTGTACCATTTTGCCCTCCCACTAGCAAAGAGTAAGAGTTCCTCACATTCTTGCTATGAAATTGGTATAGTCAGGCGTTTGGATTTCAGCCATTCTAACGGAGATATAATAGTATCTCATCTTAATTTGCAAATTACTAAAGGACTTCAATAATTAATAATTCTTTACATTTCAAGTTTTTCTGTTCAAATTACTGCTGAGGATTTTGTCTTCTGAGTGGACCCTGATTAATTCTCTATATTTGCACTGTCCAACGTGGTAACCACTAGGCTCATAAACCTAAAAATATGGCTAGTCAAAAATGAGATGTGCAGTAAATGTAAAATATCCAATATTTACAATATCCAAAATATTCAAAATTGTGAAGCTTTACTAAGAAAAATAACATAAAATAACTAATAATTTTATATTGACCATATGAAGTAATATTTCATATATTAAGTTAAATAAATTTTATTATTAAAGTTAATTTTACCCATTTTGTTTTATCTTACTAGAAAATATTAAATTGCAGGTGTGGCTCACATCACATCTCTGTTAGACAATGCCACTCTATTCCAATACTATAATCACAGTAATCTTTATAACAGAAAATTAACCCCATCACATTCTTGTTTATTTAAACTGATTTTCTATGACTCACAACCATCAAGTTAAACCCCAAATTCCTTGTCAAGTAAGGGTATCAGTTACTACCTGTTCAATCATCTACTACAGATGCATCTTTACAGGCTACAATCCTGCTATACTCAATTTAAAGTTGCCTGAAAAAAATTATTTCACATGTTCATCCTTTTTAGCTGCACTCTAAATCCTGGCTCTCCCTAACAAGTCATGTTTTTGTGCTCATTCTTTGGGGTAACAGACATATTACTAGTGTGTGTGCATGCACATTATATTCATGCATGTATATATGTATGAAGAATGGAGAGGAAAATGTTATTTGTCTTTACTGAATAGCTAATACACTCACATGGCTCAAAATTCAAAAGATGATTAAAGTTATACAATAAAACTTGCCCACCTACCTAGCCCTCAAGCTGAAATCTTTCCTAAGACGCAACCAATTAATTCATTCCTGTATGTCCTTTCAGAGACTTTTAGACATAATAAAAACAAAGGCAAAAAAAAAAATTTAAAGACTTAAATTACATGAATTGGAAAATTTAGTACTGTTGAAATGTCAATACCACTCAAAGTAATCAGCAGATTCAATGTAATCTCTATCAAAAACCCCAGAATTTTTTTTTTTTTTTTTTTGCAGAAATAGAAAAACTCATTCTAAAATTCAAAATATCTCCAAGGATCTGGAATAGCCAAAAACAATCTTGAATAAAGAACAACACTGAAGGACACAATTACCGATGGCAAAACTTAATACAAAACTACAGTAATCTAAATAGTGTGGTATTAACATAATGGCAAACACAGACCAACAGAAGAGAAAAGAGCACAGAAATAAACCCCTGCATACATGGTTAAATAATTTCTGACTAAGTGCCAAGACCGTTCAATAGGTAAAGAGCAAATGGGCAACCCATGGAGAATATATTTGCAAATCATGTATCTGATAAGAAATTAAAACACAGAATATATTGAGAACTCCTAAAACTCAGCAACAAAACAAAGAACAGATTGGAAAATGGGTAAAGAACTCCCTTGGATAAACATTTCTACAAAGAAAATAAACGAATAGCCCATGAGCACATGAAAAGATGCTCAATATCACTAAGCAATAGGGAAATGCAAATCGAAACTACAGTGAGATGCCACCTCAACCTATTAGGATAGCTATTATCAAAAAGAGAGAGAGAGAGAGAGAGAGAGAAAACAAATCTTGGAAAGGATTTGCAAAAATCAGAACTCTTGCACATTGTTGCTAGGAATGTAAAGTGATACAGTCATTGTAGATAACCACATAGCAGTTCCTCAAAATATCAACAATAGAATTACCATATGATCTAGCAATTTACACAACTAGGTAAATATCCAAAAGAACTGAAAGCAGGGTCTCAAAAAATTTAA